TAAGTATTTTCCTTATCAATTTGAGCAGCAGTGTGGTGCTTTAAAAGGACCAGGTATGGGGGTCCCTACTAGTACTGGGCAGATGGACCAGTACTACTCGGTTTTATGCTGCCTCATTTACTTAGTGTTTTGCAATCCTTAATGTGCACAGCTGGCAGCTGAATGCAGGTTTGATACTAACAGTTTAGACATCTTTAGATGTAGCAGATGGAAAATTTTACACAAATAAAGTAGGAGAAAGTGTGCAATTAGGTTTTTATCTGCAGTTACATGATGCATCCTGTGCTTTCGTTTAGAACATCACCTTGGTGGGTGGTCATCATCTTCCCTTGCACCAAAGCTGTACCTTCTTGACACCACACTTGATGTTGGATGCCTGCCCAAACACCAAACTTCTGTTATTGTTGAGTGTGAAGGAAATAAGAAATGCAACAATCAGCAAAAGACAAAGGCAGACCAGCAGTGCGATTCCAGCAGCCCAGTACATTATGGTTACATTCCATGCGAGTTAAGTCACTATGGTAAAAGCCTTGGCAGGATATTTTTTCAATAGTTTATTCATGATGTTCATTATTATGAGCTGTAAAGACTATGAGAATTTCATTTTTTAAATGTCTTATGGAATGTATCACTTTCTTAGATCTTGTAGACATGCTGTGGAAACCATAACATAAAATATGAGTTACTTACAATAACTAATTTTAATCCCATCTGCTAAGTATGACAACATTAGCATTTCCACTTAATTAAAAACACCCTTAAAGCAGCAATGTTTTAATCACTCCATTTTATTTACTCTCCTCCGGTGTCACTTATAATTGTAACTTTTTATTTTTTAATAATGAGGGATTTTTTTTTTCTCTGTGCATCACACAAAAAAGTGCTGTCGATAATTAGCAGTCTTCTGTTATTACTAGACTCAGGTGTCACAACTGTGTCTCATCCTCATTACAGTAAAAAATTTCACCTATCAGATTCATTATTGCTAGATAATGCGACTGAGAGCCTTAGCAGGCCCTCCAGAAAAGTAATTCAGCCAAGCAAAATTATCAGCTAATTATATTTAGAATCAAAAGCCCAACAACTATTTGCAGATAAATTGTATGAATTGAAGTGAATAGATCTGAATATTAAGATTCATAGATTTAGCAGATGATTTGTTAATTGGAATAAAAAGGTCATTTACTAGCCATTTTAACAATAGATCAATCGGAACTCTATTTATTATTTAACTAGTAGTGCTTAAGGATTGAAATGAAGAATAATTGTATTATTGTTCTGATATGCTACTTTTCTGGGAAAGGACAGAAGCGGGGGGGAAGTTGCAGAGCTGTCCTGGCCGCGTTGGGGCTGAAGGCTGTGTCCGTGAGCTGGGGCTGCTCCGCCCCGCTCGGCTGGATCTGTAGGGCCTGGCTTGGGAAAGGTTGATAGCAAGCCTTACCGCACCGTGGGAAGGACCTCGCAGAAAATGCGCGTAAACTGCGGTGCGGAAAGGTAGAAAATGAGTATGCAAATAAGATCATTTGCAAATGAAAGAATTCCAAATTTTAACTTTTATCCAGCAAACTACAGAGGCATTAAATTCTGATTTTACTAATTCATGATCCTGATAGAGGTTTTTCATAAGGGGAAGTTGCCTACTCAAATGATGACTCAGATTGCATCTTGGCCTGCAGTTTTGTTTTAGGGAGCTGTTCTTTTTTTTTTTTTTTTTTTTTTTCCCCATGCAGACGATATGATTAAAAAGCAAATATTTTAACATAACTTAGTGATCTGAGCTATTACTGAAATGTCCACAGTTTCACTCTTTTTTTTTTTTTCTCCTAGATTAAAGAAAACTTTAAAAATCTATTTGCTTTGACATATGACACAATATTTAAGAACTGAAATCATCAATTAAATCACACATCAGAAACATTTCCCTTTGGTAAAAAATATAGTGCTAGACGATGTACACTTTGAAATTGTTGTTAATGTTTAAAATGCAATCTGAAGTGCATATGTTATTTTAAAAAAACCATAAATTACAAATTTTAAAAGTTTATGAAAAAAACCCTAGCAATCATTGCTTAGCGAAAGCATTTGCAGAGAAATGTCTATCTCTGGGTTTTGTGGTTATGCCTAGTTTTCTAGCATGAAAACTGAATACGTTATTCTTCATTTTATTTTTTTCCTGTTCAAAACTGAGTAGATCTAAATGAAACCGGGTTCCTTCTGGGTGCCTGTGCTAAAGTACCAAACCCGATATGCACGTGAAGGTAGCAAAAGCCTTTTGGCTCGTCACTGAAGATAGAAAAGGTGAACGTTGACAAGATTTCAGATATTTTTTTCTGGGGACCGAGGGAAACTGAAGTTAAAAATAAAGCCCTCGTATGGTCAACATGTTGGAGGAAATTCAAAGACTCTCATAAAATAAACATATTTTAAGAAGTGTTTTGAATTTCACTGTGTAATTTCTGGCCAACAGAAATTACAGTTGTATCTTTGGAGGGACATTATGTCAGATCAATGGTCATTATGCAAAAAAAATAAACTGAAAACTTGATGCCTTAACCCGTTCAGTTATTAAAACGCAAACACAAAGAGGATAGCTTTTCTTCAGATTCGCTACTGGAAAACTTTGCGCCACTCTGTCGCAATTATAAAATATTTGGGTTTGATGTTCCAGGAGATATGTAAATTCTTCCCTGAAAAATCGCAAGTACGAAGCATCTCACGCTTTGGCAAAGGAATCACACCAGTAGTTATTAAAAAATACAACACTTTATGTCCCGAAAAATAAAGGAAATTATCCGCAGCGTGTGCGTAAGCTAAAATATCCCAGCCCAAGCATGCTGGAAGTTGTTCCTAGGCTGTATTTAATCATAACCTTTGGAGTCTTAAAGTGGAAGGAGAATATCTGTTCTGCCAGGTAACGGTGATTGCGTGCGGCTGTCTATACATCCACGTAGATCCCAACGCGCGCGCGTGTGCCCTTGTTTTTCTGCAGCATTATTAAGAAAAGCCGTCCATACTTCACCATGTTGTTACATGTGTCTGTCTGCTGATTATAAAATGTGTTAAACAGTATTTAAAAAACAAAAAAATGCAGAGCTGCGCTTTGATTTATTCAGCGAACAAAACATATGCTCGCTGTTCTGTTCTATGTAATTCATATGATCAATAAAATTTTCTTTAAAAAGAGCAACTTTGGCATTTCGAAGGATTATGCTGCTGAAGAAAAAAAATGTTTCACTCTTGCTATATGTAGTCAACCTCGATGCTCTTGCACCACAAGAAGTTTTTGGCTCACTAACGTCTATTTTTGCGTATTTATTATTTCTAATCTTCAGGGTCGAAGCTGTGTATTGCGGCTGTTACCCGCTGTGTCCCAAAGCCTTGGTGTACCCGGAGATATTTCCAGGTAGCTGTTTTGCTCCACATTCTTTTTTCTGAAACGTAATAATGTGATTCATGCTAAAATACAAAGTTTGAGAATAAACTTGAGCAAAAGCAATTGTTTATTTGGCAAGCCAACATGTTAGTGTTAAGGAAAATTTTATGTGTTTTAATACATTAGACGAAGTTTATATTTGCCATCTGTTCTTTTAAGATAACACAAAAGCAAGTTTTGAAATAGCATTCTTCATTGTTAGCATACACAACCCGTAATGATAGATTTTTTGTTGAAAGGTCAGTGATGCTGCAATGGCTTGCAGATTTTTTTGATACACGGAAAAAAAAAACCCGAGGCCTGAAAATCACACCAAATTATTTAAACAATTTAATACTTAATAGTATGCAACTGCGGTGCAGGATACACGCTAACGTAGTACCAGTTCTTTCAAAAATCTCATCACTAAATGTATCACATATGCATTGTGTTACATTAGAATAATGTATTTTAATCACCCAAAGGAGATGTCTAAACAGCACAACTACACAGTCTTATTTAGCATTAAACATCCTTGTGAGCTGAGGTAACCTTATAAAATCATGCTTAAATAATGTAAAACACGAGGCGGCACAGAGCAATATGCATTTTTAATTAGTAAAGTGACTAATATCGAGTGTGTGCTTTGAGGTTTTTGTTTCATTAAAAATGTATCTGTTTTTCCTGCAGCTGAATATCTGTATTCTACACCTGAACAGCTTTTTAAAAGGCTTCAGAATTTCTGCAAGAGACCAGATACTGTAAGGAAACATCTCTATAAGGTAGTTGTTCAGAATAGTTTTACATGATATAATGCCATATTGAAGTACAAAGGAAAAAAAAACCCTTAAAAAAACAACATTTAATTAACATACTAATGTTTAAAGGAAACATGCTAGGGAGGGATATTAGTCGTTACACTAACAAGGATTAATTAAGCTAGATGCCAGTTGTATTAACCTAGGTCTTATGAAATACGTGCACTTAATGCATGCTACATGCTTTTTTTTAATTTATTGTTTTCTAAAATGACTGTCCTTTACATTTGGACCCAAGAGGCTTATAAAAATGAACCTGGATTAATGCAACTCATTAGTTTAAAAGGAAAATAAAAGAAAGATCCTACAATTATACTAATGAGGATAAGCCTACCTTCCTATCCTAATTTAATCTTCAGTCCTCAGAAAATGCAGGTGACTTGTATCAGGTAAGATTTCTCTGCCTTTTGGAGGTATTTGAATTATTTTGGTAACTATGATTATTTTAACTCTTTGCTTTTTGAGGTATGTTATGTTGAACACAAAAAAAGTTTATCGGAAGCATAATCTACTGGTATTTATCATGTCCTATTCTTTGCAGTGATTTATGTAGTGAAAGTACCGTTTCAGTGGCAGACCTTCCGATCGAGTTTTGATCGAGCGTTCAATTCTAGACCGACTTTCGTATTTTTAAGAGGTGTCTTTATACTGCTAGGAGTCACGCGCTTTTTTAATTACGCGATTGTAGATAAAGCCCTACATTTTATATTATTCCAGTCTAGAGCTATTATTACACGATGCTGCTTTTAGAAAAATAGCTGCTCTTTCCTGCATGCTGATACGTACATTTACAGTGTCGTCTGACTTTTACAGTCCTGGCTATGCCGTGGGCAGGTTGGATACGCATTACCGCTGCACGACAAAGGTGCTTCAGGTAGCATTTGTAAAAAAACCAAAAAAACCCCAAAAAACCCACCCTGAATTCAGCTGAAAATCCTTAAAAGCTTGGGAGCGCACAGAAATAACTCCTCGGGTTACCCGTGCAATACAAATGTGGTCTCTTTAGCGTTTCCTGGCTGTCGCCGTCCAGGCACGCTGTTAACGAGCAAGTCGAGTAATCTCCTTCTTAATTTGGAGGCTCGTGCTGCCAGCAGACCTAACCTCATCTCTGCACCGTCCTCCCTGCGGGGACCAGAAAGCGTTGGGGCTTGCTGCGTGTCGTCTGCCTCCCTACCCCTTCCCGCACACATGTAGCGGGAGGAGCCAGGGTTTAGCCCGCATCTGACTTTTTTTGTGACCTAAAAATAGACATTTACATAATGATACATCAAAGATGATGTCGTTTCTGCAGGAAACAGTTAAAACTTCAAGAAAAAAGGAGAGAACCAAAAATGCAATTTAACACCCAATTTCAAGCTCATTATCTTTCATTGTCTATTAACTTGGCAATGGTTCAGAAGGTAGCTCATAATAGTTTAAAATGCTGACTGAACACTTCCAGTGTTCAGCATTACTTCTTGAGTCAATAGTATCGTATAGTTATACATGGTGGCTTCAAAGGGAAAACAGTCCTTAAACGTTTACCTTGACATTTCCCGATGCTTCAAGTTCGGCTAATAGTTGCGTTCACGTGGATCTTCCCTCTACGTGTGGATCCCCAGCTCCTAAACAGAGCCGAGCTGCACTAAAAATGGACATAACGGTACAGCAAATACTGATGTGAAGTGGTATGGGTTTAAAATGTGTGCACGAGCCCCGTAAGCAAAATGCTAATTTGCTTGAAGGATTTTTCTTTTTTTAAAAAAATCCCTTGGGATGATTTTCCGGCTGAAGCTGAAGGAGTTTATCCTACCCCTTGCACGTGGGCACTATTAACAGTGCAGCCCCGACCGGATCTTCCCAGCGTTCGCACGGATTGTCTGCAACAGGTAGCAATCGAGCTGAGTGGGGGATCGCTTTAAGATGAGTAAAGCAGAGACTAATCCAGAACCTGGGACTACCGGTGAAAAGATCCCTGTTGTCTTTAATAGGCTTTGGATCAGCTCGGAGAATACTGTTAGAGTTGTCTTTTTGTACCTACGCCCACGTGTGCCAAGTCTTCCTTTCGCAATGAAACTATCCGCAAAGCCTCTTAGAAAAACACTAACTTAGATGTGTGCTGTTCCTGGAATTTTCGATGGAACGATTTTTAGGAAGCTGAAAAAAGTGATATCATGAAGGGCGTGCAGCACTTCCGCTGTATTTTCACTTTTTTTCAAATCAGTGTAATATTATATTTACTGCAGTGGAATAGAAAAGGGACCCCAGCACGGTGATGCGTACTAACTATTTTTCTTTCAGAAACCTTCCTGACATGCTCCCTGCCTCGAGTCCGTAAAGTGGCTGTGGAGTCTTGAAAGTAAAAATGCTTTAAAAGCAAATAGTGCTTTTCTTTACTGTTTGGGGATTCTGCTTCGTAGATTGGGAAGTAATCATCATCAGAAGTACCTTGGCTTATCCTTTTACATATTGCTGGGGTTTTATTACTGAGGCTATCCATAATAATTAGGCAGCGGTTTAATTAAACAGGCAGTTATTCCTTCAGTTGTCCTCAGCGCTTGCGCTGACAAAATTAGGAGCAAAAGGGGAGATAAATGGCAGCGGGGCAGTCGGGTTAGGGAGCCGGGCACGGCGGATGTCCCTGTGAAAATGCACAGACCGAGACATTGAACTGCAGTAGCTGAACTCCGTGGAGCAGATTGAAGCTGGCAGACTTGTTAAAGTGTCCGTAATGTAAGCACCTATGAAAACCTTTCCAAATGATGTATTACTTACCCTGTGTATTCTCACAGCACCCAAGGCTGCCTCATTTGCATTTCGACGTTGCCTTCTACCAGTTATTAACAGAAGATTGAGATGAGCGGAAAGCAAACCTCATTTGTTATCAATTATTTGTTCTGTTCCAGTTTTATGGAATCAAACGTTGCTCTCTGGTTCGGGGTATTTGTGGTTGCCAAAGTAAGCGCCAGAATGAAGTGAGTAACAGCAACAGGGCTTCGGTCTCCGTCACATTACACCAGAGGACCTGTCAGTGTTTGCAGGCTCCCTATCTAGTAGGTTTAAAATTAAAAAAAAAAAGAATAAAAAAATAGGGCAAAGCATTTGTTTCTGCATTATTTTCTTTAAGTTTACCTTTCAGTTCCCTCACTTCAGTTTCTTAATTTAAAACAGCAAGTATAAAGAGTATGCAGTGGAAAGGGACAAGAAGAGTTGCCAAAAGCCAGGCATGGAAGGAGCTGACAACTTTAAATAATCTCTCCCAGCCCTCCCAGCTGAATGAGTGCTGGTTGACATGCTGTCAGCTTCAGTTCCTACAGAAAAATCCTACTCTCACTCATGCTTGTTTAACGGAGAAAAGAATTTGGCCCACTTTCTGACATTCATCTTCTCATTTCCATCACACTACAGAAGCTCACCTGCCTATGAAAAGACACATGGCGTGATTTTTTTTTTCCTTTCTTACACCACTGTAGAAGGAAGTCTGCTGAATTCAAAGGAATTAAACTGCTGTAAAATCAAATTAAGATCCCAGTTAGACCGTAGACATCTGAATTGTTTCCAGTCTCAGGATTTGGCTGTATAGGGCAGTTCTAACAAAACTTTCTTTTTTCTTTTTTTTTTTTTTTTCCCTTTTCTTTTTGCTCTGATTTGAGATAAAGCAGTATCTTTAGTAATTCAGGAAAACACGTAGAAGGGAAAACTGCTCCTGGTCCAGCTTTAATATTTAGGCACAGCTAGGGAGGCAGCAGGAGGCATTCTCAGCCTAAGGATACGGGGTGCTGGACAAGCGAGGATGTCCCATCAGCCACTCAGCCCTGTTGCAAGGAGCAGAAGTTGTTCATAGTTCTTGTACGGCTCATCTGAGAGCCAGGGATGATGCCTCTGCCCTCATCCATACCCACTGCCCAGCAAAACTCCATGAGAAATTTCGTTTTTCCGTAAGGATGCTAACCGCCACTCTAGATCAGCACGCCATGTGTTTAATTCCATGGTTTTGATAGTGGTGAGCATCAGATGTTTGGGAGAGGGCTGACACGAGTAGAAATGGGATATTAAAGGTCTTCTCTTTGTCTTTTAGAGTTAGAGATTAGTGCTAACCCCGGACTTGGACATTTTATCACCTCTCACAGGCTTTTAGTGTTAAGTATTGCCAGGCTGTACATAACAGTTCTCCATTTGACATTCAGGCGCTTGGAAGCCCCTGTTCCTGTCTTTCACGGCTTCCTATAGCAAAGCGGTTCATCATATCTTTAGAGACAGCGGTAAAAGCATTTCCTTCAATTGGCTCAGGGTTTCCCCACCTTCAGTTGCGTTGAGTGTCTGGAGTTGGTCGCCTGGAAGCAGAAGCTCCTCATCCATCTTTCCTATACCGTTCATTATTTTATAAACGTTTGTCAAACTCTTACAGCATCCCGGTCTTTTCAGTCTTTCCCCGTGAACATTATTCCATATTTATGTGCTAATTTCTCATCATCCAAGCCATTTTGATGCTTGAGAACTGGTTTTGTGCTGGTGCGATCATTGCTTTACAGAGTATTCTGGGCCATGCCATCGGTTTATGTGATGTGTTGTACTCTGATAATTTTCAACCTGTTCCTTATGGAGCCAAACATACTGTTTACTTTTTAATGGTGAATGTATATTGAGCAGATGTTTGCTTACAGTGTTCTCCAGATCTTTTGTCCTGAGCTGATAAAGTTAATTTAGAGCTCTATAGGATATGCAAATAGTACAAATATTTCCGGCAGAGCGCGTTTGCAGAGAAAAAAGAAGGCATCGTATTGAATTTGTGCTTCTCCCTGGTTAGCGTTAGGCGCAGGTTAGAAGGAGGTTGGAAGGACAAGTGGGAAACTTGAATTTGCCTCTTGAGATGCTTGGTTTCCAGTGGGCATAATTTAAAATGGTTTCAGAGATGGTCTAGATCTGCTTCTCAGAGCCTGTATGGGAAGGTTATAGCAGCCTGGGAACTCTGGAGTGCGGCGTGCTGCGTCCCTGCTCTCCCGTCTCTGTGTCAGTGCTTAGGCATGGGAGCCTAAGTAAAATGTATATAATTAAGAATTTCTTATGCGAGAGAAAACTTTGGTTACTTATTTAGAACACGGAATCATAGTTAAGGAAGGTACCTCTGGAGGTCATGTGGTCAGCCTCTGCTCAAAGCAGGGCCCACTTCGAAGCAGGATCTAACTTCAAAGTTGGATTAAGTTCCTCAGGGTCGCATCCAGGTTAGACTGAAGTCTTGACATTTTCCATTCCCATACGTATAGCTGATATAGGTGAAATCCAGCTAGCTTAGGAGGTTTGAACAGGTGGGAAGATCTGCTGGACTGTGGGACACTATTTAAGCATTTTGGGTCAACCTTAGGTCTTCAAGCAGCGTGTGGGTCTGGAAGCAGCTGTGGTAGAGTGAGGTCTGCTAGCTAATGTGGATCCTCACTGTGAAAGAAATGAGCTGGCAGGTAGCTGTTGAAGTTGCCTGCTAGGTCATTCTGGGATCCAGCCATACATATGTAGACATACGTGTCCTGCATCTGAACTTCTCCCAGGGTTTGCCTTGCTCTTGGCTCCCTGAGGTATACATCCAGGAGATTTCAGGTCTCTGAAAATGTTGGTCTATAGCGGAGCAGGAGGAAAGCGTTCATTAAGAAGGCAGTGATGTGTGCATCTTTCAGCATAAACACCAGGACTTTGAACTTTTTATTGTTACAATATTAGATAGCTTCCAATTTAGGTTTAGAAAGTATATGAAAACTGGCGGATGAACTACAACCGCTGCAAAACGGTAGATGGAGAAACAGGTCAAAGGAGATAGGATTGACTTCGAGAGGAAAGTTGCAAAAAACATGAAAACTTACTTTTTTCAGTAACGTATTTTGAAATTACCTTGAAAAAGAAAGCCTGAAACCGTTTTCCTACTGTTGCAGTTGGTCAGTGTGTTCTGAACCATCCTCTGCAAGGTACCCACCAACGTATCTTGCATAGATTCACATCCAACATTTGATGGCTCTTTGTTTAAAGACAGAAAGAATGAAATGAGTTTTAAAAGACTGATGTAAGAAACTACAGAACAGACCAGTTTGTGCAGGGAAAAACCGTTACTCTGCTGAGGAGTATTATATGGGTCTGACTCGGGCCTCACAGTGCACCCAGTCCGTGTAAACCAATACTGTCTTCTGATGGTGGTTTCCAAAGGTGCTTGGCATTTGAAAGTTGAGCTCCAAAAGTAATTACTACAAGCTGCTTTCCACCTCGATTCTCCCCCAATACTCACTTACAGAGGGAAGGAGCTGGGTCACAGAGTAAAGCTGACCCGATACAAATTGGCTCTGTAAATCACTCTGCTGTCTTGCCTGCCAAATCTCAGTTTTTCTGCTGAGTAATAGTCTCTAATTCTTAACTTTGTTAAGATAATTTTTTGAAAAGTACATAAAATGTGCACCAAATCAGTACTGTCTTCTTGAACTCCAGCTGTCCTGAAACAGTGGGTCCGAATGAATGACCAGTCTTTCTTAAATTCTAAAGGTTAACTCTGAAGTCTAATGATGGCAGAGTAGATATTAATTGCTTCACTTCTGATCTTAGGACACAAGAAACAAGTAAGTTGATTATTTTGTAAAAGATATTGTACTGGTACTGACATTATGCTGCCTGTTCTTCATGGGGAGGTCTTTATGTGAAAACTTTGCTTCTCTCAATCTCTGCGTATTTAGGAGCTGTTGACTGAGTCACTATTCCTTGAAAAAATGAATGCCCAGACCTTTGCAGAGTTATCACTCCCCTGAAAAAGGAGTTGGGTGTATTATCTCCAAGGTTACTCTAAAATAAAGCCCAGAAGCCAGGCCGGTGACGGTCAAGCAGGAGAATTAGGCCCTCGCTCCTGCTGGTTGGCGGTTCCGCCGTGCCTGAGGGTGCGAGAGACGGGTCAGTCCCCGCAGGTGTTCAGTCCTTGGCCTGTCCGCCGAGACCACCGCTAAAACAGATGGACGTTTGATGGTGGAAGCCCTCATCCAGGAGCAAATAACCTGGGGCTGCCGACCAGCTCACCTGTCTTTAAAAAAAACCCCGCGGAATTCTCCCCGTTTCCAAATAATGCCGCGTAAGCCTTCTCTGACCAACTCGCTTCCGCCCTGCGGAAATCCCGGGTTTCGGCACAGAGCCGTGCTCCTTCCCGCGCGACAGACGTCCCTTTTGTGTCCCAGCATCTAACGCGGCTTCGTGCGCTTTTCTCTTCTGCTTCCTCGTAGGGCGAGACGGCTGGGTTTTCTTGGGCAGCGCTCGGCGGTAAATTCAGGTCTCTGCTCGCAGCAGAACCGAGGGAAGATTTGTGACAGATGGGGCTAAGTCACAAACTTGCAGCCTCAGGCAGAATTGTGGAAGTTTCCAGAGTGTGCCCATATTTACCTGATCAGAGAGAAAAGAAAATCTGCAGAGGAAGCCGAGCCTGGCTGCTTGTCATAGCTGACACAGAGCCATCTGCCACAAACCTGTGGCGGCTTCAGATCTCCAATCCCTGCCACCACCCCAGCTCAAATTAAATACAGATTCTTAGAGACGTTATGATGGTTACACATGTCCTCGGCATCACATGCAGGAGACTGTTCAAAAAAAATATGTGGCCTGTTGTATAACCGCACTCATGTATCCCATATGTGGTGCCACATTGAATTTCCGGTTGAATCTGTTTTTATCCTTTGTACTGGATGACATGGTGCCTGAATTCTTTCTTTTCGCCGACACGATGGCAGCCAAGCTGCAGCTTCAAACGCTCACACTTGGCTGAGTTTCTACCTAGGTTGCCAGGTTATCATTGGAGCCTTATTGTGTCCTCAAAGGGCCACAGGGCCTGAAAGGAGGATCCGAACGCTGCCGGACTAATTGGGCAGCCATCTCCGGGTTGTTTGGAGGCAAAGGGCTGCTTTAGCACTTTTTTTTTTCTTTTTTTTTCTTTTTTTTTTTTTCAAATTAATGACTCTCTGGCACGGGGGTTTTTAAGTGAAGGTATTAATAAGGGGTCTGGCAGGTAATCCCATGATTCGCGGAGTTACATTTGCATTTAATTAATCTTAAAGAAAGCTGAAAGATAAACAGCTGTAATTCAAACTAGCATGGGAAATATGCTACATGGTGCCATCTATCCGATAAAATGAAAGCCGAGACACTTGTTTTATTTCTCTCAAGGATGGAGAACAAACAGATAACAGTCAAAATACTTCCAATAAAAACCAGTAGTTTAAATGTAACGGCAGTTCATCAAGAATCTTCGCATCCCGTTACAAATACAGTCTTTTAAAGATAAATCACTTATGATTCCAGCAGTCAAGCTGCTATATTTGTTGATGTAAAATGTTTTGAAGATGTAGATTGTACAATAAATTTTTAATAAAGTGCCCACTGCAATTTTTAATTAGCATATCTCATTCATGTATAAGTGTGTACATCTATCTGTATGTTTATCACTATGCATATCCTTGTGTCAGAGTCAATGAATGCAATTGTGTCTTTATCTGATGAAGTAGAATCTGTTTTGCAAGTGATAATAAAACGTTATGACAATTCCAAGATTTTCCACTCCGCTCTGGGAAGAAGCAAGAAGAGGACTCTGGCTGAGGTGTTACGGTGTGAAGCCGGGTAAGAGCCCTCTTTGCGGACGGCCGTGGTGTCAGCTTCCCTCGTGTCAGGCAGGGTACCTCCTCTCCCCATCGCGGCAGCAGACATCAGCATCTTTCCTTTGCCCGAGCGCCGTCCGCAGCAGGTGAAGGGCGCGGGCTGGTCCCCCTCGGCACACGTGCCTTCCTGCCTTCGGACGCCATCAAGATGCCGAACTGTCCTTTTTCAGCGCGAGAGGGAGCATGCGGTACCTCTCTTTAAAATCACTCCATTAAGCAATCAAAAAACCCAGGGGAGATCCAACGGTAAGTGTTCGGATGTTTCCCTAGCGCTGCAGAGTTGTGATTTTGCAGTAATCGTCGTGTCTTCTAAGCTGGTTCCTCCTCATTTCTGCTCGACCAAAGCCCAGCCTGGGTCTAGGCGTTTAGCGTGGTCGAGTAGAAGTGGTCTTCTCAAGACAGCGTGCGGAGGTGCCGTAGTCATCCTTGGTAGAGCCGAGTAACAGGACTGCCTTGCACTTCTTATTGGAGTGTATCCTGAATGTTCACTGATGTTATCACACCTTGCACTCACAAGAGCGAGTATTTTTTGTCTTTACTGATGGGGAAACTGAGGCATGGTGCAATTAAAGCAAATGGGTTCAAGTTTCACAGTGAGTCATTCTCCGAACCAATAAAGGGGAAAGAGGAGATGCTGTAACATCATGTTAGGGCTTGTGGTGAACAGACTCGATACACCAAAGCTCTGTGGTTTTGGGTTGAAGACTCCCGCTGTCCTCAGTGCACACAACACCCTCATCAGGCCCACGACCGAGGGAGGTCTCGCCCAGCTCCTTGGCGAGCCGATGCTCTGCCTTGGTTTACTGATCAGTGATACTTTAACCATACCTAGCTCAGTCTGGTAAGTGAGGCTTCATCTGGATGGAAAATTTTCCCTCTGACTTACAAACCCTTGCAAAGAACGTTTTATAATAGAAACACTGTGGGAACTTTAATTGCAGGGTAATAAATAGCAATGCTGCATTATCTTCTGGTATTTCTTTACATTCTTAGCGAAGATACGCAGTTGCTCTAGAGCAAGGATGAAGATGTCCTTCCCGCATCTCCTGGGACCTTCGGGTTGGCCTCATGCCGGGGGGAGGGGGGCCACCCTGGCCTGTTTCGAGGTCCTCAGCGCGGTGGGACTTGCGGGTGGCGGGAGGCGATACTTCCCCCGAGGCAGTGTCCCCCCCCCAGCCCGCCGCAGGCTGAAACAACCTGAGGAGTTCTGCCTCGCGGTTTCTGAAGATCAAACGAGACGGCCGCTCCGCGCTGCTTCATTGAAAGCCTTCACTTCGAAAGGTCAGGGAGACAAATTGGGATCTCGGTCCCGTTGTTCTTACACACATGAGTAGGTGGTGATGCAGAGACCTAATCTGATGAGTAAAATGACAGAATTAGCCCTTGACTTACTTCCATATTTATTGATGTTTCACCTGCATTGAGACAGCGGCTGCGAGCGCTCCGATACGAGTTTCGGTGCAGAGTTAAAGCCGAGTGGGTTTTCCCGACTCCTGCCAGGCTCGCCAGGCAGCGCTCCGGCCAGACAGCTCCTTGCCTCCCGCATCAGTAAGGGGCCAGGCACCTAATCCTACAATCCTTCTGTCTTAGCATTCGAGATCACAGGAAACACAGGTTTATTCCACATGAGAATTGTCTTTTCCCGTATAATAGAAAAGAAAATCCTAAATTAACTAGGGAATTTTGTAGCAAACCATTTCCAGCATTCCTAGCCCCGCTCCGGTCGTGCTGCAGGCGCTGCGAGGAGCCGTGGTACAGACCGGCTTCCATCCGTGTTTGCAGCATCGAGACCTCTGACTTAGCTCAAAGCTGTTCTGAATTAGGAGGCTAGATTTTTCTAATTGCATTTTTAAAGACCGAGCCAGCAGTTCATTAGAAATCACGGAGCAAATTCTGCTTCTCTATTACACCAATATAAATCTTGAATGAATTTATATCAGGATAACTGGGAGGGTAGAATGTACCTCCCATATTGTTCCTCAGATTATTAAAAGTTAAAGGGCCTTGAAAATTAAATTCACCTTTCCCCAGTCAAGCTGTTTACTCCTTGTTTTTTATTCCAGTAAGGACAGTTGAAATGAATTAGTCAGTCTCATTTCTGCTCATAGTCACTTTTAAGTTTGGTTCTCATGTACTAGCCCAAGACTAGTTTGTGTGGAAAAGACCGGAGGGCATTTTCTTTCAAACAAATTGTTTTCATGGGAATAATTTCCTAGAGAATTATATTAAAACCTTTCCATAAATCCTTGATTTTACAAAAAAATATTTTCCTTCTAATATATCCTTGATTTGGGGGACATTGCAGTTCTTTATTTGCAGATATAAATGAGCACCTTAATGAAAGCCCTTGACAATTTTACCCTCTAATAGGCTAACCTTATTTAACTGAAATACTTTTTAAATGATTCAGTCTGGTGAGCGAGGCTTCGTCTTGAAGGAGAATTTTGCCTCTGAGTTATGAACCCTCGCAAATAAGGTTTTATAATAGAAACACTGTCAGAACTTTAATTATAGGGTAATAAATAGCAATGCTGCATTATCTTCTGATATTTCTTTACATTCTTCGCGAATATACACAGCTGTTGCTGGAAACTGATAATCAAGCGCTGTATAACTGTGTTACAACTTATCACCCACCCTCCG